TTTCTATGCACCGGTAATGCATTTATCCTTATTTATGAGTTTCTCTTATCATTAAGACTTCTTATTTGTTCTGATTTTCAAATTTCATTTTCTTAAGTAATTTCCTTTAAACTTGAGGGTTATGATGGTTTACAGACATGTTTACTGGAAAAGGAATTGATGACTTGTGTATGTTTCTTTTAATTATGGTATAGACAGTGTTAAAACTTGGCTATTCAAGTGTTTGTTAATTTGTCTAGATGACCAGTGTACCCTGTAGCTATCCACAATCCATTACCCTGTTAGTTAATAAGCCTTGATACAGTAAACATACATCATTACTAAAATATGCATGCCAAGTGTTTGTTAATTTGCCTAGATGAGTACTTCCCCTTATAGCCCTAAACAATCCAATGTGATTAAACTAATTCTAGATTGTCTCATTACTTTATTAAATTCTAATACATTCTGCTACCTCTAACTATAAATACTCACTCATTTAATTGTGAATGCTTCATTATTTAGGTAAATTTGGTGATATAGAAGCACAAACACCATGTTTCCAACTAAAGGACTGGGTGGTGCCATATCAAAGAGCAAACAATGTAGTATCCATAAAAAACCAGCCAGTGCAAGCAACTCAAAACAGTCAGCCAGTCACTCCACACCGTCGACGAGTCACTCCACACCGTCTACCTTACTTGGAGTAAATGGAAAAACCCCTGCCTCGCTAATAGGGAAACCTAGCCAACATCTCCAGCCTCCTCCATCCCAATATAATCGGCCTCATGGTGCTAGACCTATCATTTCACAACCCACTAACACACAAGTCATCCCAACACCACCAAACCACCAGCCTTTTTCCAACAACAGCCAATCTGCATCACCAGAAATGGACGGTGATCCACTAGAAGGCAATGATTCCACAGAAAATATAGATGAAGGTGCTGAAGAGATTCCCATTGATTGGAACCCAGAAACATATAGTCATCTTAATTGGGGTGAAGCACCTTTGGACCCTTTCAAACCAGTTTCACTTGCAAAATTTGAAAAGCCTAATGTTGGTGTAAATGCAACAGGGAAGTAAGTTTCATTGTTTAGCTTAAGTACTCTTCTTTACATTTTTTTTCTAAAGTGATGTTTCTAATGGTTTTAATTTACATGCAGCCTTACAAACATAATTGTGAACAAAACCAGTTTAAAGTTTGCAAGAATTATTGGTAAGCAAGTCACGTATAATTTACACCCGGCTGGCCAGAGATGGAAATGGGTGCCAGATAAAACAAAGAAGCTTTATTGGGAGCAGTTTCAGGTTATTTATGTCTGATAAACATATATCGCTTATGTAATTCAAATATTCTATAGTTCCTAATATAAATATTTTTATTTCACAGAGGTTAGTTACATGGGATACCACGAAATTCAGTGTCAAAAAAATAAAAGAAGGTTATGAAAGTTATTTGAAGGAACAAGGCTACTCCAAGATTATGAGACGAATAAGGTATCAGAATAAATGCTTTCATCAACTTTTTTCTAATAATCATGCTATCTTTTAATGTACACTTTTTACTTGTAAACTATAAAGGAAGCGTCGCCCTGCCACTGTGAATAATTTTACTTGGTCAGTCGTTAAAGAGTTTCAGCGGTCAAAACAGTTTCTCATAGCTTCAAAGTCTGGGAAAAAGAATCGTGAAATAGGCGGCGATAGATGTAAGCAACACGGAGGATCACAATCTGCCGTTGATTTGGCTACACAAGAGGTTATATTTTAATTTCATATAATGTTAACATAGATTTCAAGTATTTATTCCAAAATTTAATGACATTGTTATAGTTATATGAAATATAGTACTTTGTTTCAGTTGATGCTGACAGGTAAAGAAATAAATCCTGTGAAGATGTATGGCAAATACCATCCAAAGAAAAATAAGAATGGAGAGCTTATTGTTTGTGACTCACAAGCTGCAGAAATGGTATATACTTTTCATTTAATAATTTTTGTTTTGAGAAATTAAAGAGTGGCGCAAACCTTATGTGGACTTCAAATTACATTATCAAACTTACAATGACAGTAATCATGTGATAAGTATATAGAAATCTTTCAGTAAAAATAGTAATGATGTGATAAGTGTAACAGAAAGTTCAGATCTTAGCAGCAAAGTTTAGGCCCTCCCTTCCTAAATCTTCCAAGCTTAGAACAAAAGTGTAAAAATAGTAATGCTTACTTCTGAAGTTGAATTCGTCATTATATGTTTGAAAATAACAATTGCTTTTGCTAATATATTTGAGGGTAGTGGATCAGTTCTAATAAATTTTCATATTTGGATGATAGGGTTTGAATCCAGATTTCTTTGTGATCTCAGTCATTTGCTTACTTCTGAAGTTGAATTCGTCATAATATGTTTGAGAATAACATTTGCTTTTGCTAATATATTTGAGAGTAGTGGCTCAATTGTAATATATGAGAGCAAGAAATAAGATTCTTGGATTGACATTTTGTCACGCCCCGGACCTCCCCGGACACGTCGACAACCCGCCGTACAATACGAATAGTCAACCGCAGTCCAACACATTCATATTATACAAGGCGTCATGAATATCATTCACACACAAGTCATCCATAAACAACATAATAAGTAATTCATAAAGCAGCGGAAAACATTGTTTAAAACAAAAGGGCCACACAGGGCTATTCATGAGCACGCAGGCTCTATAATAAAATATCCATGAGCATGTTTATTAATGTTTAAAATCCGAATGGAGGAAGCACGAACCAAGTCTTCGCCCCTAGATGATCTCTCGAGCAACGAGCACAGGAAGCAAGCTCTAGCCTCAACCTGAAAAATGGTGGTGGGACGCCCCCGAAGGGGTCAGCACTCTATACGGCTATAAAGTGCTGGTGTGGCAGGCATCTAATAGATATACAACAAGTATTTCAAACACAAGACCCTCAAATAGGGTGATAGTACATTATGATTGTAACCCTAAGTTACCCCGTTTAAAAATATACTTACTTTATATAAAAGTCAAGTAGACGGCCCGTGGGCCCATGTTCATTTGGAAATCACCATTCCCAACCCCGTGACTATAAGCCACGACAACTCCTAGAGTCCAACCCTAGTATATGACATTGTATTCTAGAGCTCGGCTCTACCACATCACCATACAATTCATATACCTCGGGTCAATTTCCTTACCTTGCGTTCTAGAGCTCGGCTCTACCACATCACCACGCAAGTCCTAGAGCTCGGCTCTAGCTATACAATACATAGACTCCAAGTCTACACCTTACATGCATTCTAGAGCTCGGCTCTACCACATCACCATGCATTAAGGTCCAATTCTCAAGCAACCCTATGCCTAGAATTGACATATCATTAAACTACCATGGGTCATCCTTAAAGACTTCCCATCACTTAACCTTAGTTCCATACTAAGTTATTATATACACTTGAACTACATTCAAGTACCTTTCATACAATCCAATCCCTAGGATCAATTTAATCAACAAGTTCCAATAATCACTAACTAGTATTCCAATACTATTAAGATTATTGTTATCGTACCATTATCCTCATTGTTTGTAATTCTCTACATATTTATAATTATGTAGCAGCAACTTAAGTATTCAATCTCAATACACAAATATTCATTTATGTATCCACATAATTCATACATGAGCAAAATGCCCATTTTCACAAAATAGTTCATTTATACTCATTTAATCTCATATTATTCATACTTTCTCAAATCATTCCAAATTCATTATTTGGCAACTATATCAATATTTCATCAATATATAGTCATCATAATCCATGAAAAATCATGATTTAAGCATTTAGGTAATCTCATGCTTAACCTACAAGTTGTAAGCAATTAGATGTCAATCCTCACCTCAATTGAGCTTTAAACTTTCCCTTCTTGGTCCAATGGTCAAAGCTTTGGTCAAGGTGGATTTGGAACTGATTCCTTGCTCAAATATGAGTGTTAAACAGCCTCCTCAAAGTGCTAGTTCAACCCTTAATCGTTGATACGAAAACAGCCCCTAGAACGGGTGTTTCCCGGTCAACTCGTTTCCTAGTTTTTCCAAGATTTGCTCTAGGTTAGTATCTAACCTTTACATCACTAAAATAACTTTATAAGGACATATTATACACTTGGATTAGTGTATGATAGTCCCACCAATCGTTCATATCATTTGGAAAATGAAAAGTAAAGTTTTGGGGTTAAAACTCACTTTTAGAAGATTAAATCCTCTCCTGCGAGGTTGTGTTTTGCTCGGACGATTTGGAAGCCTTCCACAACTCCGATTCCTGCAAACCAGACCTTCACGGATTCCTCGTCTTGAGAGCTTTCTGTGGGTATCTCACACGCCTTAATTGGATTTGTAAAACTCGAGATATCGACCAAACAGTCTCAGCACTCTCACAGCTCGAGTTCACAGACCTCTGCTCGTTCCAGATCGATTTTTGGATGATTACTCTCTCCTCTCGAATTGAGACCACTCAATTATAAAAATAGACTTCAAAAGCTATCCAAGGACACCTCATACACGTTATTTGGTTGAGGATAGCTCCTATAATGAGAGGAGACAAACAGCACACCAATTTGTGCGAAAATAAGAGTGGTGGCCCCAAACTTTGATTCTTATCAAGTCATGTGCAGCTCTTCTCCATAATGGCCGGCCAAGGTAAGTCTCCTAACCCATTTTTATTTGTCTTGCAGGTACTAATATCATGTGGAGTGGTTCCCAATTGATCCCAATCATTTTGGGATCCAAATTATCTACCAATACTTCCAAAAATGGGGAAAATGGGTCCTATTGTTTTATCTTTGTCAAAAGATGTCTTTTTGTACTCATCCTAATTTATTTAGAACAAGTCAACTTCTCAAATCACATTATTGATCTCCAATATGTGTAGGCTCATCCCAATAATTTACTTGATAGATATTATAGAAGGAAAATCCTACTCCCATTATTTAGCTCAATAAGGCCAAAGGTGGGGTTATAGGCATTTGTATTCTTCTTTAATCATCCTATCACTTATTTGACATTTGTCATACATATTATTGGGCTACTAGCCGTGTGGGTCACCCCCGAGTGGATCCAGAACGCCATTCTCGAATACTTGCTATTTTTAGCAGGTTGGGCCCAAAATGAGTATTCGCAAGCCCGATACTAATATACGAGTTCGAACAGTATAATAATCGGTCATTAATTACGTAAAACATTAATCGTTTAACAAATGTTTGGGAATCGGAAATCCAATACATAAACTTTGAATTTTAAATCAAATTTTCAAGGACCTTCGGGAGCGGTGTCACAAGTTCACCCCCCCTTAACAGGAATTTCGTCCCCGAAATTCACAGCTCTACTCAAATAGGAATGCATACTGCTTCCTCATCAAAGCTTCTGTTTCCCAAGTCTCTTCTTCGACCCGGTCACTTTTCCAAAGGACTTTAACCATTGGAACTTCTTTACTCCTCAGTTTCTTCACTTTTCTGTCAATAACTCTTACCGGTTGCACGGCATAGTTCAAATCTTCACGTACCTCCACGGGCGGCTTCTCCAACACATGAGAAGGATCATGCACATACTTCTTAAGCATGGATACATGAAACACATTATGTATCTTCTCTAACTCAGGAGTCAACTGTAGACGATATGCAACGGCTCCAATCCTCTCTATAATCCTAAATGGACCTATATATCGTGGGTTAAGTTTTCCTCGGGTTTGGAACCGAATGATCCCTTTCCAAGGAGAAACTTTCAAGAATACCTCGTCATCAACCTTAAACTCTAAGGTTCTTCGACGCTTATCTGCATAACTCTTTTGTCTATCCTGAGCCGCCTTGAGTCTCTCTCGAATCAACTTCACCTTTGATTTGGTGACCTCCACCAACTCAGTACCCTCGAGTTTGGCCATGCCAACCTCGTCCCAGCATAACGGTGTACGGCACCTCCTCCCATACAATGCCTCGTATGGAGGCATGCCGATACTTGCCTGATAACTGTTGTTATAGGCAAACTCCACAAGTGCTAAGTGGTTGTCCCAACTCCCCTGGAACTCCAATGCACAAGCCCTCAGCATGTCTTCTAGGATCTGTATAACCCTTTCAGACTGCCCATCCGTCTGTGGATGGAAAGCAGTGCTGAACTTCAACTTCGTTCCCATAGACTCCTGGAATTTCGGCCAAAAACGTGATGTGAATCGTGGGTCTCTATCAGATACAATGGTCACCGGGACCCCATGCAGCCTCACGACCTCATCCGTATACAATTTGGCTAACCTCTCAAGTGGGTAGGTAGTGTTGATAGGCAAGAAGTGTGCACTCTTTGTGAGCCTATCCACAACGACCCAAACCGCGTCATAGTTCCTGATAGTCCGTGGTAAGCCTACCACGAAATCCATAGTCACGTGCTCCCACTTCCATTCAGGGATGGAGAGTGGTTGCAACAAGCCTGCTGGGTGCTGATGTTCTGCCTTAACTTGTTGACAAGTAAGGCACCGACTGATGTACTCGGCTATTTCCCTCTTCATTCCAGACCACTAGTAACTTTCCTTCAAATCACGGTACATTTTCGTGCCCCCCGGGTGCATGGCATAAGCCGATGAATGAGCCTCCTCTAAGATGGACTTTCGGAGCTCATCATCTGACGGCACACACACTCGGTCACGAAATAACAAGAGACCATCATCTCTTTCCCTGAAATCCTCCACCGGCCCCGCTTGCATGCGTTCCCGGACCTTCATAAGTTCTTCGTCGGCTTCCTGACCCTTCTTGATCTCATCAAGTAAAGTGGGTCTCACCTCAAATCGTGCCAATAAGGCACCATCGCTGGTTACCTCCAGTTGGGCTCTTAATGCCCTCAAATTAGTTATCAATGCCCCAGACGAGCTCTTCCGGCTCAAAGCATCTGCCACCACATTTGCCTTGCCTGGGTGATACTCTATCACTAGATGGTAGTCTTTTATCAGCTCCATCCACCGTCTCTGTCTCATGTTTAGCTCTTTCTGAGTAAACACGTACTTCAAGCTCTTGTGATCAGTGTATATGTGACATGTCTCCCCGTAGAGATAATGTCTCCATATCTTCAGTGCAAATACCACTGCCCCGAGCTCCAAATCATGAGTAGGATAATTCACCTCATGCTTCTTCAATTGTCGTGAAGCATAGGCGATTACCCTCCCATTCTGCATCAGTACACATCCGAGCCCTTGGATGCTCGCATCGCTATAGACATCGTACCCCACACCTTGTTTGGGTAATGCAAGTACCGGTGCCTCAGTCAATCTCTTCTTTAGTTCCATGAACCCTTTCTCACATTTGTCATCCCATACAAACTTAGCTCCTTTACGAGTGAGCTTCGTCAATGGCGATGCCAAAACAGAGAACTTCTCCACGAACTTTCTATAGTAGCCTGCCAATCCAAGGAAACTACGAATTTCCTTGACGTTCTTTGGCCTTTCCCATTCAGTAATGGCTTCTATCTTCTTGTTATCAACAGCAATCCCCGATCCCGAAACCACGTGCCCGAGGAAGCCAATCTCCTTTAGCCAAAATTCACATTTAGAAAATTTGGCATAGAGTTGCTTCTCCCGTAGTGTTTCAAGAACAAGTATCAAGTGCTCCTCATGCTCTTCTTCACTCTTTGAGTAAATCAAGATGTCATCTATGAACACAATCACGAATCGATCCAAGTATTTATGAAATACTCGGTTCATCAAGTCCATGAATGCCGCCGGGGCGTTTGTTAACCCAAACGACATAACAAGGAATTCAAAATGCCCATACCTTGTGCGGAAAGCACTCTTTGGTATGTCATCCTCCTTAATCTTCAATTGGTGGTACCCCGACCTCAAGTCAATCTTTGAAAATACGGTTGCTCCTCGTAGTTGATCAAATAAGTCATCAATCCTAGGCAAAGGATACCTATTCTTGATTGTGACCTTGTTCAGTTGACGATAGTCAATGCACATTCGGAGTGTCCCATCTTTCTTTTTCACAAAAAGAACTGGTGCTCCCCACGGGGAGTGGCTGGGTCTAATGAAACCATTATCCAAAAGCTCCTGCAATTGGGTTTTCAACTCGTTAAGTTCAGCGGGTGCCATACGGTATGGCGGTATGGAGATTGGTTTGGTGCCGGGCTCAACCTCGATCACAAACTCAATCTCCCTATCAGGTGGAAGCCCCGGTAAGTCTTTAGGGAAGACATCCGGATACTTACAAACCACCCTCACATCATCGATGTTCGTTTCTTCTTTGGTTTTGTCAACCACGTATGCTAGATATGCGTGGCATCCCTTTCTCATCATACTTCTCGCTCTCACGGCGGATATGATGCAGCTATTTGATCTCCCTCGATCGCCCTCGAAGCGTAGGGTCTCCCCATCATTGCCTTCGAGTTCAAGAACCTTCGTGTAGCAATCTACCCTAGCACGGTTCCTTTCTAGCCAATCCATCCCTAGGATTGCATCGAATTCCATCATGCTCAGCGGTACGAAGTCACACGTCAAGGTTTGACCATTAACCTCCACCCCACAAGATGGATGGTAACAAGTTCTTTCCACGTCATCCCCTAGTGGTGTTGACACCACTAAGGTTTGCATCAATGGTGCGGATTGCACTCCCAACCTCTTGGCGAACGCTTCATTCACAAATGAACGTTGCGCCCCGGTATCGATAAGGATTCGCGCATCCTTCCCATTAATCTTTAGTGTTCCTACATTTATAAGTCATGTAAGATACCTTTCCTACCATTCTTACACATTTAGAGAGGTTTATTATGTTCACACATGTGTTTGGGATCAAGAACGGGTCTTAACGTCGCAAAACGGTGCGAAAAATCTATCCTCGGCCATCTGGGTGCCAGGCACGGCGTGCCTGGGGTAGGCACGATCGTGCCTGGCTTGGGAAAAAGCCCTGGGCGCTACTGCCTCCCAGGCACGGTGCCACGCACGGCGTGCCTGCGACCGTGCCTGGCTGAATTTCCTCGAGGAGGCCACTGCCTCCCAGACACGGTGCCACGCACGGCGTGCCTGCAGCCGTGCCTGGCCGGAACTCCTTAGCGAGGCCACTGCCTCCCAGGCACGGTGCCACGCACGGCGTGCCTGCAGGCGTGCCTGGCCGGCAGTGGCTGTTTCCAGCCCGATTTGGCCTAACTCACCCGGTTTGGCCCCGGGGTGGCCCGCACTCAATCCCAATGACGTACATGGTCTAAGTAAGCCTAAAAGTGCCCAAATTAAATGTATTACCAGCGATGGAGTCGGGATTAGCCCGAGCATCGGCCTCGGTCATTGCATAGACTCTAGCTTGCGTCCTTCCTTGATTCACGGACGGCGCGTTACTCGCGCTTGCTCCCCCTTGCCCCCTGGTTACTTGGGAGCCCCCGGCTTGGTTTCTACTTCCCGCAGCCCCGCTACTTGGTCCTGATGTCCTTGCCCCACCCAACTGGGGGCAATGCGCCTTCAAGTGTCCGGCATCCCCACATTGGAAACATCTAGGGGGGTCACGACATTTACCGGAGTGGTGTTTCTTGCAATTGTTGCAACGAGTTACCACTGAGGCTTGTGACCTCGAGCCTTGCCCACTCGGGCCTTGGTTCCCCCTAGATGGTGGCGGTGGTGCTCGGAAAGGTCCTCCCCCATGATTCCCCTTCTTGTTGGAACCTTGAGAGCCATGACTCTCCCACTTTCTCTTTTTCGCCTCTTCGGCGTCTTTCTTCTTCCTTTCTTCCCATTGTTTCTCTCCTTTCAACGCTTGGTCAACCACTTGGGCGAAAGTCATATTAGGCAATTGTGTTGCCCTATCACGTATCTCCAAGTCAAGAGCATCCCAAAAGTGGTTTACCATTCGGTTCTCGTCACAAGCATACTCCGGTATGTAGTCGGCGAGATCCCGGAACTTGTACTCAAGTTCCTTCACTGTCATGTTACCCCCTTGGGTTAGGAGGGTGTATTCCCTCACCTTCTTGTTTACTTCAAAATCAGAATAATATTGGGCAAAGAACTCCCGTTGGAAGTCCTCCCAAACGACGGTCTCACCGTACTTGCTCTTGGTTCCATCCCACCACTTGGATGCCATCCCCTCGAGCAATCTTACCGCAATTCTCAGTTTGAGATTCGGCGCGATTTGCATGTCAAGGGCTGCTTCATTTAGCCTCTTGATCCATTGTGCTGCAACTGAAATGTCCCCTGCCCCATCAAAGGGTTTGCACCCCAAGTCCCTTGCTTCTTTGATAAATTTGGAGATCCTTATGGTTGGACCTCCATCATTTCGGCCTCCATGTGGTTCCACATGGACTCTAGATGCACCATGACTTCCTCCTCTTGAAGCCATGCCCGAAGGTTGCCCCGCTCGGCGTCTTCGGCGTTGCCTCCTCTCTTCACGCTCCCTGTGGTATTGTTGGAGTAGTGCTTCGATCCGTGCTAAGGAGCCATTTTCCTCCTCATCACTTACATCGTCATCATCCCCTTCATAAGGGGTCTCAACCGGCTCTGTCTCCGGTTGGTAAGTCGAGTCCTCATAGGACCAGTAGGTCTCACTTTCCGTGTCAACATGACCGTCACTCACGGTCTGTGATCGGCCTCCACGGCCAGCTCCTCTAGATGCCCTAGAGGTCCTTCGACTGCCCTGTCCAGTCTCCACTGGTACACGGCCCGTCGGGTTTCTCCTAGTAATCCTGCCACCACGGTCCATTTCTGAAAGAAATTTGGAAAGAGTCGTTAGACTCGTATCAAATGTCAATTGACGGATAGGTACTTAAGGCACATTTTGGCTCGAGTCACCGCCATACCAATTGCTAAGGGTACCCATCTTAACAATTAGAGACCTTGCAACCCAAGTACCAAAAGCTCTCCAAGTACAAAACTTCTATGCTCATGGTTTTCAAAATCTTTTCAAAAAGAGAATTTTGAGACTTCATTATGAAGTTTATGGACTAAGGCTCTGATACCAACTTAATTGTCACGCCCCGGACCTCCCCGGACACGTCGACAACCCGCCGTACAATACGAATAGTCAACCGCAGTCCAACACATTCATATTATACAAGGCGTCATGAATATCATTCACACACAAGTCATCCATAAACAACATAATAAGTAATTCATAAAGCAGCGGAAAACATTGTTTAAAACAAAAGGGCCACACAGGGCTATTCATGAGCACGCAGGCTCTATAATAAAATATCCATGAGCATGTTTATTAATGTTTAAAATCCGAATGGAGGAAGCACGAACCAAGTCTTCGCCCCTAGATGATCTCTCGAGCAACGAGCACAGGAAGCAAGCTCTAGCCTCAACCTGAAAAATGGTGGTGGGACGCCCCCGAAGGGGTCAGCACTCTATACGGCTATAAAGTGCTGGTGTGGCAGGCATCTAATAGATATACAACAAGTATTTCAAACACAAGACCCTCAAATAGGGTGATAGTACATTATGATTGTAACCCTAAGTTACCCCGTTTAAAAATATACTTACTTTATATAAAAGTCAAGTAGACGGCCCGTGGGCCCATGTTCATTTGGAAATCACCATTCCCAACCCCGTGACTATAAGCCACGACAACTCCTAGAGTCCAACCCTAGTATATGACATTGTATTCTAGAGCTCGGCTCTACCACATCACCATACAATTCATATACCTCGGGTCAATTTCCTTACCTTGCGTTCTAGAGCTCGGCTCTACCACATCACCACGCAAGTCCTAGAGCTCGGCTCTAGCTATACAATACATAGACTCCAAGTCTACACCTTACATGCATTCTAGAGCTCGGCTCTACCACATCACCATGCATTAAGGTCCAATTCTCAAGCAACCCTATGCCTAGAATTGACATATCATTAAACTACCATGGGTCATCCTTAAAGACTTCCCATCACTTAACCTTAGTTCCATACTAAGTTATTATATACACTTGAACTACATTCAAGTACCTTTCATACAATCCAATCCCTAGGATCAATTTAATCAACAAGTTCCAATAATCACTAACTAGTATTCCAATACTATTAAGATTATTGTTATCGTACCATTATCCTCATTGTTTGTAATTCTCTACATATTTATAATTATGTAGCAGCAACTTAAGTATTCAATCTCAATACACAAATATTCATTTATGTATCCACATAATTCATACATGAGCAAAATGCCCATTTTCACAAAATAGTTCATTTATACTCATTTAATCTCATATTATTCATACTTTCTCAAATCATTCCAAATTCATTATTTGGCAACTATATCAATATTTCATCAATATATAGTCATCATAATCCATGAAAAATCATGATTTAAGCATTTAGGTAATCTCATGCTTAACCTACAAGTTGTAAGCAATTAGATGTCAATCCTCACCTCAATTGAGCTTTAAACTTTCCCTTCTTGGTCCAATGGTCAAAGCTTTGGTCAAGGTGGATTTGGAACTGATTCCTTGCTCAAATATGAGTGTTAAACAGCCTCCTCAAAGTGCTAGTTCAACCCTTAATCGTTGATACGAAAACAGCCCCTAGAACAGGTGTTTCCCGGTCAACTCGTTTCCTAGTTTTTCCAAGATTTGCTCTAGGTTAGTATCTAACCTTTACATCACTAAAATAACTTTATAAGGACATATTATACACTTGGATTAGTGTATGATAGTCCCACCAATCGTTCATATCATTTGGAAAATGAAAAGTAAAGTTTTGGGGTTAAAACTCACTTTTAGAAGATTAAATCCTCTCCTGCGAGGTTGTGTTTTGCTCGGACGATTTGGAAGCCTTCCACAACTCCGATTCCTGCAAACCAGACCTTCACGGATTCCTCGTCTTGAGAGCTTTCTGTGGGTATCTCACACGCCTTAATTGGATTTGTAAAACTCGAGATATCGACCAAACAGTCTCAGCACTCTCACAGCTCGAGTTCACAGACCTCTGCTCGTTCCAGATCGATTTTTGGATGATTACTCTCTCCTCTCGAATTGAGACCACTCAATTATAAAAATAGACTTCAAAAGCTATCCAAGGACACCTCATACACGTTATTTGGTTGAGGATAGCTCCTATAATGAGAGGAGACAAACAGCACACCAATTTGTGCGAAAATAAGAGTGGTGGCCCCAAACTTTGATTCTTATCAAGTCATGTGCAGCTCTTCTCCATAATGGCCGGCCAAGGTAAGTCTCCTAACCCATTTTTATTTGTCTTGCAGGTACTAATATCATGTGGAGTGGTTCCCAATTGATCCCAATCATTTTGGGATCCAAATTATCTACCAATACTTCCAAAAATGGGGAAAATGGGTCCTATTGTTTTATCTTTGTCAAAAGATGTCTTTTTGTACTCATCCTAATTTATTTAGAACAAGTCAACTTCTCAAATCACATTATTGATCTCCAATATGTGTAGGCTCATCCCAATAATTTACTTGATAGATATTATAGAAGGAAAATCCTACTCCCATTATTTAGCTCAATAAGGCCAAAGGTGGGGTTATAGGCATTTGTATTCTTCTTTAATCATCCTATCACTTATTTGACATTTGTCATACATATTATTGGGCTACTAGCCGTGTGGGTCACCCCCGAGTGGATCCAGAACGCCATTCTCGAATACTTGCTATTTTTAGCAGGTTGGGCCCAAAATGAGTATTCGCAAGCCCAATACTAATATACGAGTTCGAACAGTATAATAATCGGTCATTAATTACGTAAAACATTAATCGTTTAACAAATGTTTGGGAATCGGAAATCCAATACATAAACTTTGAATTTTAAATCAAATTTTCAAGGACCTTCGGGAGCGGTGTCACACATTTCAATTGCTTCTATTAGTTATGTTTCTCCAGATTTGTGAGGCATGAGACAACTGAGTTTGATTTCTATACTCAGTCATTTAGTCCATCATTCATGTTTTAAATCTTTTATAATTTGCAGCCTATTAATTATATTTGTATAAATTTTGTGTATAGGAAGCTGTGGATAAATTGTGTGATGATTTTGGAGATGATGTCGAAGAACAATCTCAATCTTCTGATCAAGAGGAAACCGCAAGGACATCCAATGTTAAATCTTCTCAATTGCATGCCAAGTACCTAGAAGTTGTCGGTTGCAAAAAGAGAAAAGTGCGTGGAACGGGAAGCTATTCAAAGGCATTTCTTCATCATGTGAAGAATTTAAGTGCAAAACAATCATGTTCAAAAGCTCGTCGGATGCATCACTTTTGCGTCACTTGGGACACACACTTGAGGAAATGGTTGACTTCACATGGTGATGAGTGTCCCCCGGAAATGCCACTTGTTGATGATGATTTGCAAGATGAGGATCCTGATTCACAGCCCAAGACATTTGAAGAAATATGGCTTCCATTTCTGAAATCAAGAGGAATTGATCTTCCAAATTGTTTCCCAATACTTGAGTCTTCTAAAGATGCTCCAGAAGACTGCCCAGACTCTATGGATGAATCATAGTCTCTTTAGAACATTGGCAACTAGTAATTTTGATTTTTGTTTATGTATGATGATCTGGATTATTTAAATGAACCTGAGGTCATGAATATTTTTGGTTACTAGCTACGTTTATATGAAATTAATTAAGGTTTGTATTGGATATATTTTGATTGTTGCATACTAATATAAATTTCAAATTTTGGCATCATCTTAATTTCTGTTTGAGGTTCTTATCCAACTGTTTATACTTTATATTGTTTTAGTTTATTATCTCATTTATTATAGAAATCTGATGCATTTAAAAAATTATTAATTAAAAAACATCATTGACGGATATTTGTGGCGGAATATCGGACAATAAAAATTGTGGCGGAAATTTCGCCACTAAATTCCGTCACTGATTAGTGTCCGACCTTCTATTCCGACGCAACACAAATTAATGTCCAGATTTTAGTGTCTGAAAATCCGACACTGAAGTCCGACACTAACGCCGTTGCTGGCTGTTTTACTGTCCGAAAATCCGACACTAAAACGCGAAAATTCTAGTAGTGTCAGTTAGTTGTGTGGTGAAAAATTTGGATCTAACGATCAAGGTTCGAATTCCACAATGATCGGGTGGAGGTTACAGCCTTTGAAATGAGCTGGACCTTTTGCGAGCACAAGTATATGTGTCTACTATCACTCTGCTGACTAAGTCACCGTGATTTACATCTTCCCATGTGTCATGTTGGGTCGGTGTGGGGGACTCCGGGGTGAGAGATTCCACCTAAAAGGGGAGAATGGAAAGAAATTAAAAAAGGAAAAGAAAGGTACGAACATGTACTTTTAGAAAAGAAAGTACGGACTTATACTTTTGCAATAAACTAGTATCTCACCCGTGCAATGTATGGAACAATATTTTGTTCGAATTATTAATCACTAAAAAATTAAAAATTATAATAAAAAATATTGTGTAACTTATTACCCAAAATATGAATAGCATAAAATAATCTCTACGAACATAAAATCAATCGCAACTAAACAAAATTTTAATGTATGTATAACATAATGTGTACGTAGTATGTTTTAACATGGAGAAATGTCTTATGACAATTTAACTAATTTCAAAATCAGCTCAATCTGCCCACATAGACTTCATTGACCCCGATTTGTAATAATTAATCCTATTTGGATATTAAAAGTAATACTTCTATTTTAGGAAATTATTCCTTTAACTTAAATTACTCCCTCCGTAACTTTAAAATCTTCCCACTTTCCTTTTTCGTCTGTAACAAAAAAATCTTCTCATTTCTAAATCTTCCCATAATACCCTCAATAATTCTGAAAATAATACACTATTACAACTACTTTTTTTGGATTTATCCTACATTCCATCACCCAATTCCACTATTTTCCTATTATACCCTCAATAATTCATATTCTCTTTCACTATTCTTAATCTACCTACTTTTCAAATGGGAAGATTTTAAAGTTACGGAGGGAGTATTACTTTATATACATTTTCATTCAAAACGTTACTTTTAAATTTTACGTCCTGATAACTTTCGTTTACTATTTTTTGATAATGAATTTCGGAATCTGTGTTTAAGCAAACTTTTGACATATACTGGTACTGTACCATTTATTTTCACATTAATCGGTGCATGCAGAAATTGTTATGATTAATTGGCTTTCAATTTTTCATCCTTAGGCGAGAAACGGGTCTATAAATAAGTTATATGAAGAGTCCGTGTGTTACTTGTTTTAATTTGACATCTATATAGAACACGACAATCACACGTTATGTCTTACTACCCGCCCCATTTTAGTTGGTAATTTTTGACTTTTCAATCAAAGATGGTAAGCTTTTGCTAATTATTTTTACTAATATGTTTATGCAAAATTTATTATTTTTATACTTTTATGATAGTATTTTTAACAAAGAACAATTTCAAATTATCAAAATTTCTGTATATAAATATATAATCGGTCAAAGTTAGACATCATTGACTTGAAAAGTCAAGTTTTACTAACTAAAATGAGACGGAAGGAGTATTACACACGTTATAGTTACGTTTCATTGAAGTAACTCTTGTGTTTTGTCTTGACAATCTCTCCCTTTCTTGTGTTATGTTCCTTAAGTTGCATATTTTAAATTTTTAGCCACACACATGGCTTTAATAAAAGGGCAATACTTGCTCATCTAAAAAATTTATATAAAGAATGTCCAACATATAAAGGGTGCGACTTTAGTCTTCTTCTAAGAATATAAAAAGTATACGTTTATTTTTACATTCATGTCTATATCACAAATCTCATTTTTACTTGAATTTATACTAAGCATTTGCTATTCAAAGCATGTTACGTAGTATATCACTAAAATTCTTAACCCAATTTATACATAATCATAAATGCAAAAACTCAAATAGCTTTTTCATGATTTTAAATTTATAATGATGATACAATTTTCGATCACCACATACGGAGTGTAATAATGTGTTGGACCACAAATGGTAATATCGGTAAAGATTTGAGAGGACATATATACAAAGTATATATATATATATATATATATATATATATTTATTTATTTATTTATATATATATATAAAATATATATATATAAAGTATATATGTACACATGTAAAGACAAATTTAAGTAAAATCTAATAAAACTTATCTTGATCAAGAATTTTTTTTATCGTCATCTTGATCAAGAAATTAGTAACCCAAAACTTAATGCACTGGATCGAACAAACAATTTAGCCCACTATTAACGGTCTAACGGAATATATGCAAACAAAGTACTCCCCTGTCTCCCTAACTTTGTCCCGTTTGATCTTTTTCGTTCGTCCCATTAAGTGTGTTGCATACCATATTTGATAATATTTTAGTGGTTAGAATTCATTTTTACTTTATTTACAATTTACACTTTATCAATTCAATATCAACCGCACAATTCTATTTTTTTTTTAAAACCACATTAACACCCTTTCTCCCAAACTTAGGGGACGGAAGTAGTACAACGTACTACTTAATTAGTAGGGTTTTGATGAAACCTTCATCTTCGATCTTAGCATCATATCTCCACCCCTTGCTTCTTTTCAGCCGCAGCTCTGGAACATGTCTTCCCCGCCGGCTGCATCTCTTTCTCTCTCACTCTCCTTCTGGTCATGATAGCATCAGCACAAATTAATACATCTAAAAATATCAGCTTGTCTTCTTCAACCCTCTCCCTTTTGTTTGATACTACTATCGAAAAAGTATAAGCGATGACTTCTAAATGAGTTAAACTACCTGTCGTCTTCCGTCTTCTTCTTTAAGGATTTTGTTGGAGCTATATTTAATTTCCTTATTGACCAACTAAAAGTTCATCGAGTACAAAGCTATATATACAGACAAATTCCTATGTAATGTTCGCACGCAAAAGATATAGCTACTGAGCTACGTACGGTATATATAGTGTCGTTTTTCCATGTGTTCATCTAATGAAATATCTATCGGGAAATATTATTTGTCTACCGAGCTACGCTAATGAAATATCAATTGAGGTATATTATTTGCCTTTTCGTTTTCCCAAGTGTTCATTTAATAGTTTTACACTTCCAATGTGCCATTTTCCCTTCTCA